TTTCAATCACTCCTGAAATTATATCTTGCTGCTAGCTTCCCTGCAGTCGAGCGATGTCTATCTCATGTCATCCTGTACCCCCTGATTTGAGGTATTTCTGTGTGCTCCCAAAGCAAGTCTACCTACGCTAATGTATTTAATTCCCAATATTGATTGAACCTCTTATCTCATGCACAAGACCGCACTGCCGAACGTAACCCGGGGCCATGGCACCTTTCTAAATTCATCTCACAACGACATACTTTTTGTAGTTCAACAGTACCTATATTTTAAATTACAGCTGCATTCCTGTTACCCATATACATTACGTATCGTTCATACTCCCTTAGGTACTCAGCCCCGTTGTTTATCCATACACCCAAAAATTCGTATTTATTCACTATTTCTAGCATGACTTCCTGTATCTTATGCGCACTGTCTTCATTATCATTAAAAATCATGATTGCAAATTTTTCACTACTGAACTCCAAATTAAAACTATCCTCCTCATTACTGCCGATGTCTATTAATCCCTGCAAATCTTCCTTGTTGTCAGCTATTAATACAATATCATGTGCATACATCAATGCTGGTAATCACTGTTCAACGTATTTCCTTGCTTGGCGAAAGAAAGGCTGAAGCCTAGTCCACTCTAATTTGGCTTCTAGTCCCTGTAGATACAGCATAAATAACAAAGGAGACAAGCGACATCCCTGTCGGAGCCCGTGTTTTATTTCTATGGGTTCGGATACCTGTTCGTCCCATTTTATAACTACCTTGTTACTTTTATAGATATCCTTTAGAAGATTAGTTATTGCGTCTTCCAGATCTAGTGTGTGCAGTATTCCCCACAAGTCTTCTTGAATCACACTATCGTAAGCTCCCTTGATATCTAGAAATGCCAGCCACAGGGGCCTGTGTTTTTTTACCGCTAGTTACACTGCATCAATGAAAACAGATTGCCCTCCAATCTCCTTCATTTGCAGAAGCCATTTTGTAGTTCTCCCAGCAACCTCTCATTCTCCACCCGTGTTTGTAGTCTTTCCTTTACTATCTGCATCACCAGCCTGTAAACTACTGACGTCACTGTTATAGGACGGAAGTTGTTTATATCAACTTTGTCCTAATTTCCTTAATAGATAATGCTCATCCTGCCTAGTTTCCACCCAGTGGGGGCTTTACAATCCATTATTTCTTTCCTCGCTGCCCTTCTTGATGTTTGCTTAGAGTTTGGTCCTAGTTTCTTTATCAGCATAATTGGGAGGCCATCAGGGTCTATTGATGGGCAATTCAAAACCCTCTTCTCTCACTTTTCCACTCTCGTTGTCACAGTGGACCACTGCGCTAATTAATCTACCCTCATCTGGTATGGTGCATGCAGCTTTTTCTTGGTGTTCAAATTTTTATGTCGTAATTGTTCTAATATGTTTCAGTGCTTTATGCCCTTCTAGCCTAATGCCTTGAACTGTAGTCATAAACCTCTGTTTCACGCTTGACTTATTACTCAGAGCATTGAGATGGTTCCAAAACTTTGCACCTGCGTTTCTCTCCTTTTATTAAATTCCACCATCCATTGGGCTCCTTTCTTCTAATCTTTTCACTGATCAAATTGGACGCTTCCATTTTGCAGCTCAAAAAGATATCTCATTTTTTTGACATCATCTTCTGGTTGACCCCTCTGTTTAGCATACTTGTGTTCCCTGGAGGCTTCCTGACGTCTTCCTATGCCTCTCTGAACTTCCTCATTTCACCAGCTTTTGGGTTGGTGTCTCTTTTTCTCGGTTGATTTGGCTCGTACCTTAGAAGGTTCGAACTCAAACAATTGAATTAGATTTGTGTACGTTCATTTTGTTTTAGTATCCTATAGGTGATTATTTTCTCAATCTCTTTAGTTGCTCTTTCTATTTGCTTTTGCAAATAAATATTGACTATATACGTGTCTTAGGTACCCGTAGTGTACTCGCACAGAGCTGTTATTCGAAAGCGGCGAGTGGAAGCGGAGCGTGCGCTCAATGGCCTGAAAGAGCTTTCGACCGGGCACTGAAAAAAAGAATAAAGTAGGCGCTGCTCTGACACATAGTGCACAGGTGTATCTTCATTGCAGTCCACAGGTTTTATACATCACGCCTATTTTAAACAGCAATCCGTATTCTGTTGCAATTATACAGTTATTTTTTGACAATTCTCATTTTTTTCGCAAAAATATTGTGACAATCGAGCATCTGTTGACTTCACTCACCAACTATACGTTGATTTGGATGCCTCGCTAGAGCAGAAGTTAATAATCAAGAAAAGCACTTTAGTAAACATTTGAATTTTATATAAACATCAGGGCAGCTGTTTTCGTGTGAAGGTTGAAGCCAGTCAATATTATGGTGAGCAGTGTTTTAAAATACACAAGAAGTTCTCGTAACTTGACATACTGATCATCGAGTTGCAATGACTATGTGGAAATCGAGTTTATTGGCCACGAATAATACGTGACAGACACATCAGAACGTCCCGTTCGGATGAAGTGGCGAACTTGGAATGAAGGCATACGCCATGGTAGTATATTGTCAAGTCATCGTATTTGCACCTCCGGATCACCTATACATTTGCTTGAGACATTTTGTGCTTATCTGTTTTGTTCTGTGTGCGATATAACCACAATTTCACCATTGTTCAATCAGTGTACACCATAAAACCCATCGGCAAGCACCATGGTGGCCCTGTTGTGGTGCTTAACTGTATCCACCCAAATTCGGTGGGCCCAGGCTGCTGCTTTTCGATGAAGGTGAAATTCCTAAGCCCCCTATGCTGAAATTTTAAATTGTTGAAAAAAAAACACAGTTAGTAGAAATTTCTGAAGCCCTCCACTACGGTGGGTCTAGTAACCTTATTATGTTTTGGGGCGCGCTTTAACATAACAATTATAATATTTTTTTTTCAACGACGAGCGCTCAAGTTCTTTTTTTTTGCTAAAACGTCAAAAGTAGGTAAGTAAACAACTTTATTCATTTATTAAAAAATCTTGTAGGGATATGGGGACGGTTGATATCGAAGCTGCATGACGATGGGCCCTCGAGGTGGTCTAGGTGGCTGGACACTCCTAGGCTTCGTCGATCCCTCTGATCCAGCTGCCGGCACGGAGTGGTAACCTCGGTTTTTAGCTACGCGGAGCAGCCTCCCATCGTTCCTAGTGTTCTGACCTTTGCCACGGGGGTTTCAATTTGTTTGGGCAATTCATACAACCATGAATAAAGTTGGTCTTGCGCTATAGAACACAAATTAATTTTTGGTCATTTAAATGTAAGAAATTATACATGTAATCACTGCACGATGAACACTAATAATAAGTTTAACTTTTGTATTACAGACGACTTGCCGTAAATCAGGGATTTTTTCTGTGCCTTTTATTTTTGAATCTGCCCACAGATCACAAGGTATACTATAGAACACGTAAAATTGTTACCACGTTGTTTCACTCTTCTTTTTCGAAACAGCTGAATTCCGCTACATTTGATATCTTCAAAAACAAAGGAAACAAGAAATAATGCAGTCTCCACGCTTTCTTGGAGTCGGTGTCATGTGAAGCATTCGGTGACTAATTCTCAAAGCTGCGTTTTTTCGGTTTCGATCCAAGCGTTACGGGGCAGATTGACGTATTTTTTCCAGTGTGTAGTTGTAAGGGATTACCCGAAATGTACACAAACATTGGTACTTTAGGTTTAACCAATCGCCGAAAGTAACGTGAGAATTGGAGCACAGACGCCAGTATTGTCAAAACAAAGTGTACTAAATGATACGATAACGTCGATATCACACGCAACATTCATATTTCTCCGGTGTGGAGAGACGTTTGAATATAAATTGGATATTTCTAAAAATGCTACATAAGCGGGGTCAACACTGGAACCCCAACTTGCGTTACCTTATATCACACGTGTATCACCGAGTGCGTATGTAATGTTTATTGCTTTGTTATGAAAGCAGACAGCCAGTCGCGCAACCTCAATTGATTCTGCAATGACATTGTGCTTAAACGAGGCCTTTTTCTATAGCAGTATCAAGACCCGATGGGGTTCTGTGGAGAATACTTGTGTGGCCCACAGAATGCTTTGGTCGGATTCGTGAACAGATCCTCATTTTTATTCGTTGCATTCCAAGGTCCCAAGCTCTCCCATTTGGATTACCAATCTTTGTTTTCGCCATTCCTAGGATAAGGGCTGTCAATAAGACATGGCGCATGCACGCATACCATGGGCCGTGGTATACGGCTATTCACCACACGCATCATGAGGAAAGACTTTCACGATAATACGTGACCGGATTTTCCCGTAATTCATATTACACGACATTCATATTCATCAGAACACGTTACCTTCTCATACCAAATTTGATCCTCATGAAGTTAAGGAGACGATCATGAGAGCACCAAACACAGGCGGATAGATAGATAGATAGATAGATAGATAGATAGATAGATAGATAGATAGATAGATAGATAGATAGATAGATAGATAGATAGATAGATAGATAGATAGATAGATAGATAGATAGATAGATAGATAGATAGATAGATAGATAGATAGATAGATAGATAGATAGATAGATAGATAGATAGATAGATAGATAGATGTGCTTCGCCTCTAAAATCTGTAAGAGTTCGCTGAATTAGAGCGCAGCAGCACTACAAACGTAGGACATGCATTCATTCGGGTAAATGACTCTTGAGCCCACGTAAACAATTTGTAGTGGCTTTTAATGCGGGTACATATGAACCAGCATTCACAAAAATACCTGCGCTAAAATTTATCACAAGTGAATAGTAGAGAGTCACGATGATGAACATAATTTTAACGAAACCGGCTGACCAATGACAAAATGCACTTACGTAAAAAAGTTTTGTGAATAAGGCCCGTGTCTCTTTCTACAGCGCATCGATGATCAGTGTAGTGCAATACCTCGAATTTCTATTAGATGTTTTCGTACAATATAGAATGTGCGCTAGTGAATGAATGAAACGTAACAAATGAATACAGAAGAATGCCAATGAGTTTATTTTTGCCATACAACACACGAGTTGACTGATTTGAATGTGGCCACGAAGAATAACGCTGACGATGACGAGAAGTTCTTTTGCTCTGAAATAAAGCAATTGAAAATAATTATTCTATAACTTTTTTTGTCTTCGAAGAGTGGTGCAAACAATTTCTTACAGCGGTACGTTTATTGCAGAGACACTAAGACATAGAAAAAAAAACTGTGCGATTAGGCCCTTTTTTTCCAGGCGACAGTCTATGGCCAACTCACTTCCATTAAAACTGCGATTTCATTTACTTGCTACATCTTGATTTTCTCACTTTTTCCGGAAAATGTGCCCTCTCAATCCTTTCATCAAATCAAAAAAAATGTTGTGCTTTTATTTACAAAAATCTAGAATCTTCATTTCCAATAGCTCTCTATTTCATGCGACTGACCACAAATACGTTGTAATAGAAGCATCACGTGACCTTTTCTGATGACACGTGTACAAAAGCCTACAAGTGGTGCCATCTGTTTGCCTCCAACTCCCCTATTCTGTCCCCACATGTTCTTGCTAGGATTGTCCCTCTGTTTTTCTACACTTGACATCAAATTTAAAGCATTTAAAGAGATTATGCTCGAATACAATGACTCCTGTACACATGGAATCATCACATTTGTATTGGTTAACTTATTGTGCACATAAGCACCAGTAACGATACCAACGTGAACTTACCATTAATAAACGCCAAGGCCCACCGCTCCGACACTAGCAGTACCTCCCTGAGCAGTCTTGCCGAAGCCAGCCTGGTGGCCAGCGGCGCCACTGTTGAACCCAGATGATCCCTGCTTGTGGCCCGCACCGAAGTTCTTGCTCTCACTGGCAGAGAAGCCAGAACTGTGGCTGTAACCCGCGTCGTTCTTGAACGCATTCACGGTGCTTCCGGACGCGCCGCCAGCGAAGGCACCGGATCCCTGGTTGTGACCGGCTGCTCCACCTTGGTAACCAGACTGGTGGCCACCGGCAGAGGTGCCATATCCTGACTGGAAGCCACCACCTACTCCATGTCCAAGGCCGACGCCGTGTCCCAGACCGACACCGTGACCGACGCCTGCTCCAACTACAGCAGGGTTACCGACAACGCCGAGACCCGGGGCTCCAACGCCAGCTGCGTGACCTACACCAGCTCCTACAAGACCTGGGTTTCCGACAACGCCAAGACCCGGGGCTCCAACGCCAGATGCGTGACCTACACCGGCTCCTACAAGGGCTGGGTTTCCGACAACGCCCAACCCAGCTCCTCCAACGCCAACACCATGACCAACGCCCGATCCGACAAGGGCAGGGTTTGCGACACCTCCAAGACCCGCAGCTCCAACACCGGATCCAACGAGTCCAGGAGCTACGCCAGCACCGAATCCAGTTCCATAACCGGCGCCACCCAGGCCCACCCCGCCTAGGATACCACCACGGCCCTCAACGTCCTTCTTCTCATCCTTCTTTTCATCCTTCTCACTTGCTTTCTTGGCGTCTTCGGCGTAAGCCAGGCAAGCCACGAGTGCGAGAACTGCAATGCCTGTAAACTGAAAGTGGTGGGAAGAGACGTTTATACTTGCAAAGTGGTTTTGAAGAAGGGACGTTGTACAAAAAGTAAGCAAATACGACAAGAAAAAATGAATGCTGTTTTCTATCCTCCATTCATGTCCTACAATGAGAACACATGTATTGTTGGGAAATAAACTTTAAAGAGTGTAGTTTACAAAAAAGAGAACGTTATATTGAGTGCAATAAAACTTGCATTCTTACTGGGTATGCAGGTTCCTCACAGTTTACTTCATACTGAGCCTACTCAATTCCATACTGAACGTGAGACGAGTAGGTGTCCTACACTTTCGCTCGTGAAGTTTATAGTCATTGTCAAAAATTTATGAATTGTGGTATCTTGAAGATCATTAAGCTATTAGGGAGATGAAGCAGTTGACATAGATATGAAATTATAACGTGCATTATAGCTCACGATTGCACTTCACTGAAGTTTAAAACTCTCGCAACGAAAGGCCACAAGGCGTCATGCATTCTTGTGGTAGCAAAACTGCTCAATACTCATGAATGTAATCAAACTTGCCTTTTTCATCACCTTTCTCAGCCTCTCGCAGTTAATGAGAAGAATATAGTGCTGTATGATGTTACTAACTGTGAGCCCTGAAGCAGAAAATTTATATAATTTAATTCTAAATAAAATTTTCTTACTGAATACGCAAGTCCAGAGAATTTCTTTTTTAAGGTAACGTCATTGAGGTTCCCGATGACTAACTAGTGTGGGGGTTTTTATCCTGAAACAAATTATTTGTGAATGGGTACTTTTTAGCACGGTGATAATCGTGCGTGCTTACAGGTGAGCAGTCAGTGGTCACTCAGAATGACCAGCGTTTTCGAGCAGTTGAGCGAAGTACCCATAGGTTGGGCTGCACACCTATTCTAAAAGTGACTGTTAAGTGGTCGCTGGTGTTGATAACGCAAGCATACAAATACAACACAAAAAGTCACGCTGATGCTGACAGTAACTAGAAAGCCAAGATGGTATTAACTTTGTTTTATATAAAACTTCAAGTTCACCTTTTAGTGGTAAATATTTTTCGAAGTTGTGTAGAGGCTTAGAATACACTTGTGGCGAATAAAAAGTGCTGTAGTCAGTAATGTCCCGCTGTAACCAAGTTAAAAAATGAACTTTCCGTTGTCAACCCGAAAAGGGATCACGATTATGCGACAGCCAACAAAACACTTTACAATCACTAAAAGCTCGCGGTCACGATGGAAAGCTGGCAGACGTAGCTTGCCCTTGTGACCGTGAACTTTAACCCTAAAAGCACGTGCGTATTGGATTGAGGGGTCAAGCCTAATAAGGCAGTGACTTTAGCCTATATATTTTACAGTAACCACCTTATCATCAGACACCTCAATCATTCGCATGACTAGTCATAACTAGAAACATGTTGAGAAGCAAAAGGAAGGAGTTCATTTTCTGGCCTAATCTGAAGTAACATCATGAACAGTAAAAACATCCTTACCTTCATCTCAAGAACTCGGCCACCACTGACAGGCCTCTGGTTATCGTTAGGGGTTCGCTGCTTTTTAGCGCCGAGAGATGTTGTAGTCACCCGTAGACTTCAGCCCCCTTTATATACCTCCTGGACCCATGTGACGGAGCTGCACTGGCGAGGAGCAAGCGCTCCCCGCTGCGCTTCCAGGGGGTAAGGAACGGGAGAGGGAGCTGAAGCCACCGGATTCAACAGTCGCTCTCCGCCTTTCAAACAACCCCCCGTTCCGAGAAAAAGCTCCCTTGTCCAGTTTTCTTGAAAGATCTCATTAAGAAACTGTAATGAGATAAGTCGCATTTTCGCGGTGAAGACTTATGATGTCAAGTACCCTTGCCTTCTTGGCTTTTCCGATGGAGGCAACCCGTTTATTTACAAGTAAAAGCCTCTGCAGTGGCACAGTGGCTGCGGTGACCGGCTGCTGACCCTGAAGTCACCGGTTCGATCTTAACGTCAGCGGTTGCAATTGTATAGAGGCAGAATGCTCAAATGTTGTGTACTGGGCGTTGTCAGTGCGCGTTAAGGAACACCAGAAGGTCGCGATTGCAGACGCCTTTATTACAGCGTGTCTCATAGTTATATCCCCGTTCCGACACTAAAACTCTTGAAATTAATAATAATGGCACGACATAAAAAATCTCGTAATAATGTTCAGTACCACTGCCATAAATTTATCGCCTCCTGCAATGCATTTTTAAGAAGCTACCAATGAGGCCAAACATTCAGGTGCTAAGCATATTGTGTGAGTTGTTTGCATTTTGTTATCAAGAAAACACGCAATTCAAATGAAGATATTGAGGTGAACAGTAAAATGCCTGCGTTTGTTGTCTGTGAGGCCTTTTTTTTTTCTTTGAAATTGGCTACAGAGCCCGGTTTGACGAGACGATTTCGTGACATCTAGTTCCCGAACATAAACTAATAAATGCTGTAGCCGGCAGGGTTGAAATAAATGCTGGTTTTAATATCATGCTTGAGCAGCAAACGGGATGCATTGTTGTGCTGGAGTTGAGATGACAATGCTTTGCATAAGCTTCCTTCAAAAATAGGCAAAAGTGAAATGAACTTCTGCTCCTTCGTCATAGCGTATAATTTAAGTCGCTTTTTTTCTTCCCTATTTGCTATCTTATATACTGGCGATAGGTGATTCTGCCGTAAGGCGAGTCTGCCGTAGGTCAAGTTAGGGCTTGTGCTGCCCGTGGATATGTCAAAAAGAAGCTCTATTGCGAGCTGGTCAGCCACATCAACTTTCGCAAAACGTATCAGCAAATTTTATCTTGCATGTGTGGAAAATAATGTTATTATGCTCTTTCTTATCTACCCTTACTTTTATAGCTACCTGCATTTCTAACTACAAGTCGCATGTTTTTAGGGAAAAAACGAAAGAAAGAAAGATATATGCTTCAAGAAAATTGTACGCAGTTTTTACTGGGTATCTGGTTTTTACTTCACGTGCGTACACAGTTGTGCTTTGCTAAAATGGACCACCGTCTCTAGCTGAAATGGTACCTCGAACGGTAGAGATCAAATAGCTCGGATGATATAGCATCCGACGCGTTATTCGAAGGTTGTGGGTCTAGATGCACACAATTGAATAGTTGATTTCTCTTCCAGTTTGTTTTTTTTGTTACTTTCAGAGAGAATCATTTTAGAGAGATAACACTACAATTAAGAAAGTGCTAAAAGAGCTCTATCTCTTTTCCTTGACTTAACTGGCTGTTAGTTTCATTAGTCGTGTACAATACATAAAACAAACCTCTGACACCATTTCACTCTTTTTTTACTTTCATAGCCATGGCTTCTTTCCGGCAGAGTTGAGGTTTTCTGAAACACACGAAGGTTTACTGGTCAGCCGCCTCCTTGTGAGATAATTATCTGCCCCATGACGCCCTCTGGCAAAAAAGAAGAGGGTTTCACACCCATGGCCTGGGCTACGATTGGAACTGGCTAGTACTCCTAGGTATTAAGAGCACATGAGTGTAAAAAAGTTCATGAGAGAGTGTTCTCAGTAGTAGATGGAATGGTAAAACAACGCATGCGTAATTAGAGGGTTGTGAGTTTGAATCCCACTGACAAAAAGCGTGATTCTTCCTCCAATTAAATATCTTTCCACTTAGGTGACAATTATTACACTACAGTTAACAAATGCTAAGTAATGTACACTACACAACTTTTTATCTAACTGTTTGCCAGTTTGGTTAGTTGTGTAATATAAAGAAAACGAGCGCCTCGGCGAATTTTCCCAATTTCGTACCGAGTATATATAAATCGCACAAAATTGATACAAAAGTTTTTGGGCGCCACAGGTTTTTAACGCACTTGTTTCTCGTTCGTATGAAAACTCCGTGTTCAAACATTGTCCAGCTCTAAAACAAACAGTGCACATAACATTTCATGTATACTATCTCAATGATATGGAAAGCACCTGTGTGGAATGTATCAGCGCGTAAAAAGTGCGATCAAGTGGCCGAGAAGACTGGTGTACCATAACAGGACGGGAAGGCGAGCTGCAGACACGACCACAACGCATCGTATTGAAAAGGTTTATTCTAACTGACATGATGAGGTAATGACATCTGTTATAAATCAGAGAGATCGTCATGGCAATTAAATTAATCACTTTCTTCTTCCTTTTAATTAAAACAGAAGAAAATCTGCTTTTCTGCTACCTGTGTTCTTTGTGTATGACCCAAACCATACGCACGTCTGCTTCACGATAGGATCTATTGAAATTCATCATAGACTTGTGAATATCTAAATCTTCAGCATGTTCGTGCACTCACGTAGCAGATAGTAAGTGTTATCCAAAGGTATCTATCTAAATGCTAAAACGTAAAAGTGCGCCTAAGTACTTTGTCCATGATGATTCAAATGAATATATGATTGTTAACAACCATATCTAGTGTTTTGCGTCCTCAAATCGCGATATTTGTATGACAGACTCTTACTGAAAGGCTCCGGAAGTTTTGACCATCTGGCAGTTTTTAGCGTGCAGTGGAATCGCACAGTACAAGGGCCTCTACGATTTTGCCTTCCCTGAAATGCGACCGCAGCAGCCAGGGTCGAACCCGCGATCATCTGATCAGCCACCGAGCAGAGTAGCCACTGTACGAATATGGCGGAAAACTATCCTATCGATCTCTCTCCTGGAAGCTCTTTTCTCTTGACCACCGATCGGGACACAAATAAGGTAAATAATAGGACGTCACTACAGTACCAGTACAAGCTCAGAACTGACCCGTACCGGAGACCTATCCCTTCTTATTCGTCTGTCACCAATTTTCTACGAAATTGCATGCCCATTCCAGTTTTTTAGAGTTTTTTTTGCATTTTGTTACTGTGTGGAACTACTTGGTGCCAACTGGCATTTATTTGCTTTATTTCACGCTGTGTGTGCGACGATGACAGTGTGTAGACGAAAAGAAAAAAGGATTGAGAAGTTTAATCTGACTATCTATGTCGATATAGCCAACAAAACAGATGGTACAGAC